ACTTTAGGCTTTCCATAGAAAAAACCCTGGTGGAACAATCTGCCTTAGGCAGGGTTCAAACTCATGGCAAGGTGGACCGGTTTTGGCATTCGCCACAACGCCTCATCAACACACTTGTACTGGAGTTCTCCCATGGGTATTTATACCCTTTTTGCCACATTTGGCTGCTCCCACTAGGCCTCACAGCCTGGACCGTAACAAGTTGGCCCTCTTGCGGCCATTAATTTGGTATTGTTATTCTCTAAGTTTTTGGCACTGTTCTTACTAAGAAACTATTGGTTTAATAAAGAACTCAAGTAGAAGTGTTGAATTGAAAATGTGGATGTTTTGCAGTACTAAATTTTTATAGTCCAGGCCGCGAGGCCAAGTGGTGATAACCAAGTATAGTAAAAGAGTATAAATACCCATTATAGAACTCCATTACAAGGGTGTTGATGAGACACTGTGGCGAGCGCCAGAACCAATCCACCTTATTGTAAGTTCGAACCCTACTTACACACAAGAGACAAAGAGGACAAAAGCATAACATAGACTCTATAAGAATATAGAGGTTGAAATACAATTCTTTAGGAATCACGTTGGCGTCTTGTGGTAAACTAAATCAAATACTTCCTCCGTCCGGAATTAAATGAAACAGTTTGTTGACTGGCCACATTTGTATCATAGACTTCGTCTTTTTCCTTAAAAATTGGACCAAAGAACGCAACCTGTGTTTAACCAATGTTATCAAAAATTCATTAACAGAAAATAAGATTCATGCACAGGGTAGTACTTTGAACCCACACGACTCGGGCCTCATATTTGAACATTCGCTGAACCAACCAAACACGGCGCCCTGGACCCAGCGAGATCCCACGCATGAGTGATACCCCTTTTGGTGGCCGTCACAATATCAGAAGGGTAAGGTTCCCTCGTTGCTTGGGCTCTAGCCCAGAGATCGACATCCTTCACGAAGGAAGATTGGCAGAATTGGCGGCTAGGTCTTGTTGCGGCCCCGTCGGCAGCCGCTGGTTTCCGGAGTCGTGGGGGTCGCCCTGCCCTGCGGCTCGGCTGTTGAAGGTCAGCCGGCGCTCTCCACCTCGGATGGTGGGCGTATCCGCGCTGCTTTGGTCGCTGTGGGCCCATTGCTCGACGGGATCGATCCCCGCCTCGGCTGTCGGCGAATAATGGCGGCGCTAGCTTGCGCGGTTCACCGGTTAAGGGAGCCGTGTAGAAATGGGCCGCGTATCAACAAGCATAACGATTCCACCGCGATGCTGCTGCCAGAGGCGCAAGCAATTCGGATCCCGCTAATAACGGATGAGGTTAATTCCAGCACTAATCTCGTTAATTAACGAAAATAACGGAAAAGACAAAATTAACCAAAAATTAATTCTGATTTTTGGATTTTTTGTGATTTTTGCTTTTTCATACTTATAGTTTATGGAATTCGCTATTAGAGAGCATATTTTTTATTTCAACCTATGCATACTAGATTTTTAACTAGCCGCAGTTGTTGTGATTTTTTGGGTTTTTTTTCGATTTTTTTGGATTTTTTTCGTTTTTTCTGAATTTTTCTCCCTTTTTTTGCAACGGAATTTAACGAACAGCTGATAAAAATTAACGAACCGGATTTAACGAAGCGGATGGCATCTTGAATGGCCACCTCTAATGCGCGCGCACATATCGCATGCGCGATGCCCGATCGCGGGTCCATCGCGGTCACATCAAGATAAGACAACACAAGTGCGCGTCCGGGCACATCGCCACCGTCCACCATTCACCTACGATCGACCCAATGTCCTCTAATTCCAAGCATCTCACACCCGACCCCCTGGCCCTAAGTACTGTGACTTCAGAAGGCCATATCTTCGCCAATTCTTAACGGAATCGGGCGTTTAAAAGCTCGTTGGAACCAGGAAGCTCTTAATAACACTCACAAAAGGTCGATTTGGCCAATTACGTAATCTTACTCCAGAAAATGTCAAATAACTGCCTTACCCCAAGTAACCACGTCACAGGTCTGCCCATCGCCATCAGTGTTCACAGGCAATCTGTGCCAGTGTCCACAGTGGCGCACCAGCATGTCTGGGATTGGCCGTTGCCAATAGGTCTCCTATGTCCTCAGACTAGTAGCACAATAGTTATGTGCATCAAAAGCTCTTTGCTTGGCACCGATCTCCAATTGATGGCTTGCCCAGCATAGGGAGCACCACCACTCAAGCGGGCATCAACCCCATCAAACACGAGGAAGGAGGGTCTGGATGCTCAATCGGAGGCCCCAAGTGTCTCTATGGTAGTGTTCTTGCGTTTTCCGATGGTTCCCACAAGAATCTGGCATCGCGGCAGTTTTCAAAGCAGCGTAAATGGTGCTTGCGGCATGTGCACAACAACGGCATGTCTAGCAATCTGTTGACTACCACGCAGCAAGGTGACGATCAGATTCTTCCAAACTCTTTATGGTCATATTAGCGCCTACAGCGACCATACCCATGGGCCCAGCTCGTTCTCAAAATCCCGTGATTGTGATGTTCGCCGATTTCCGCATCTCCGATCCGGAGCTGAAATCTTTGCCGGCCCGTCAAAACCACGATCGCAATCGACGATCGAGCTGTGCAGAACTCAGTCCCGCGGTCTCTTCTGTTTGGTTGGAACATCTCCAATGTGCGGCCATGACGGCGGCAGCAGATATCCACTTTGCGCTGTGCACCGTCAGTCACAAAGCTACCTCATCAAAGACCCCGTTGGGGGGCTCTTCGGCGAGACCTTGAGAAGATTCGAGTTCTTGGCTGGAGTCACAAGGGTTTAAAGTACTGTCATGTTACCAGTACTTATCCGTTCCCCATAAAAATTTGGCAGCACTTACTGAGCTTCTAGACGAAGCTCTGCTCCAATTTTGAAGGAAAATAGCAAGTTTCTGATACAAATGCGACCTCTCAAACAAATTGTTTCATTTAATTCCGGACGGAGGAAGTAGTCATTATCAGGAGGATATTGCATTTTGGCAGCGTGCGATTTAACCCTCTTTAAGTGCTTATTCATTGGAAGCATACCGTGTACATTTTCCTTTTTTATATCTTTTTTTCTCAAGAACTCTTTGGCTATGAATTGAGTGCTTGTTACGGACTGCAAACAATAAAGTTAGACCCACCAGTCTTTAGAGCAATCACACATGGAGGTTTTTCGACACCAAAATAATAAAAAGTGTGCTTTTGCTAAAAAATGGCACAAGTCCTTCCTCCCAAACACAATGCAAGTTTCATTGCCCAAATCTCCCACAATTGTTTTTCGCCCCGAAACGTTTTTTCGCCCAAAAATGCTACACTCCCCTTGCGCCAGACAGCCACACGAGCGCCGGCGCCGGCACCGCCTGCCCGTGCGCGTCCGCGTGTGGCTCGTCGCGCGTACAGGCGCCCCATTCTTGGCCTGCCGCGCCGCACTCGTAATCCTGCTACCCCGTCCGATTGGCGCGCCGCAGATCGGGCTGATCCCGCCGGGGCCCCCTCGGCTTCTCCGCGCCTGCCTTGATCCCAGGAAGGGCGCCGGCAGGGCGCCGGGGCGAGGCGGGAACGGCCTGGCGTTGCCGAAGCTGAGGTTCGGGGCTGCGGGGCGGAGAGTGCATCGGTCGGAGGATCGGAGGTGAAGGGGGAGAGGGCGGTGAATGAACGGAGCTGGGCGCGCGGGAGAGCTGCGAGCTGGAGCACGCGGTGCGCAGGCACGTGGGTGGATGTGGATTTGAAGTCGAGGGGGAGGGGGTTTGGGCGGAAACATCGGGGCAGAGGCGCAGGTTGTGGGGGATGCTCGGATGGGGTTTTTGTGGGGGAGGATCGAGCTGCCGGGGGGATGGATGGGGCCATGGTGGGAGATTGGCCCCAGTTCGGGGGTCGGTGTGGGCCCCCGCGAGAGGGGGGGGGAGGGATGCGCTGGCTCGCGATGGAAGCACAGCTTCCCCGCGGCCGCCGGCCAGCCGGCGCCAAGCAGCCGGGCGCGAAAGCTCCCGGCAGGGGAATGGCGTGGGTTGCGGGGCATAAGTCATCCAGCCGCCGCGCCCGCCCGTGGTGCCGTTGGGTTGGCCTGCGCCCGCCGCGGGTCGCCCGTCCCCGACCGGGCAAGCGGGGGGGGTGGGAGGGACACCCTGGAGTGTGAGCGCGTGTGTGAGCCGCGCTGGCGATGCGCAGAGCGGGCCGCCGGGGCCCGGTGTATCTGCAGTAAGCGGTTGCCAGCGTCATCGTCGGCGTGTCGCTCCGATTATTTGCCTGACACTCAAGCTCTCCCCTCCCCCCCGGCCCCCTGCTCCATGTACTCCTTGGGCGGGCGGGGACGCTAGCCAGGGGCGCACACACACGCGCACGCGCCCACATCCCTGCCCCGTCGGCTCAGGCGCTGCCCACAGCCGCGGGCGCCCTCCCACGCGCCCGGGTCCGCCCAATAGCGACCGCTGGGCGTGGGGCCCCACCTCGTCCAGTTCAGGTTCCAATTCCCCCCGAGCCCTTCCCCCGCGCGCCGCGCACCCCCCCGGAGATGGTCGTATGGGGTTCTTCAGCAGCCGGTGGAAGAAGGTGGGCGGGTGCCCATTTCAACCCCGCCGCCGCGCCGGCAGGCCGTCCGGATTGGCGCCGCCGTGCCTCCTCCCCCCCCCTCCCCCCCCCCTCCCGAGCCCTTTGACGAGGTTTCTGCCGCCCGTGCGCGCCCCGTGCTGGGGCACCGGCAGCGGCCGATCTCCGCATGCGTAGCTGGATGCGCGATCCCTCCTCACGGGGGAGCGGGGGACGAATGCATCGCCTCACCTTGCCCCCTGGCCTGTCGGTGATTGAGCCGGCTCCGAGCCAGATGTCCAAGCGCAGGCGCCGGTCCATCGTGACTTCGCGCGAGCTGTGCGCACGGGCCCCGACTTGCCGGGAGGACTGTCAATGGCCTGATAGGGCGCGGCCGATGGCGCGGGTTCCGCCCGATGGCCCCCTTCGGGCCACGCCGGCTGAAGTTGAATGCGCACTGATGATGTTGGCGGGCCTGCTGCTCAGGTAACAAAACAATCGGCGAACAAAGGGCAAGCTAAGAGCAAAGGTTTCCTTCCCGTCCTGGACTTCTCAAAGGTGGGGCGCGGGGGGCTGGATGGATGATGCCTGGCGCCCGCAGGGCGTGGCCGGCGGGCCGCGGGGCGCTGGACGGCCTGTTGTGAAACTTGTTGCCGCGATTGAGCGCTGCCGCGGTCGAGCCCGGTGATCGTGGGGCGCCAAGGGGACCGCGGATTCTTTGGCATCGGCCGGGGCCGCAGTTGCTGCGCCGGTGGCTGTTGGCCGTTGACTGGTGGCGTCGCAGCGCCGGCAGGTTGTCCTCAAAGCGGCCGCGAAACACGTGAAAAGTGTCGTCTTTTGTCGTTCCCTCTTGCGGGTGTTGCTCCCCGGCCCTGTGTTCGCCGCGCCGACGAGGCTGTCGGCTTTGCACCCTGATCGGCGTGCGGGCGCGTCGGAACTTAGCTGCAGGATGTGCAGCTGCGTAGTTGAGTGTGGGTCGATGTGCTGCGCAGACGCGTCGCGGCACAGATGTTGAGCACTCCACGACTGGAGAACACGCAATTTCCAACCCCCTTCTGAGCGGTTCGAACGATCAGGCGCCTAGGAGCTCGAGACGGATGCCTTCGGCCAGGCAGACTGCGGCATATGGTGCAGGGGGCAGCAGTGGCCTGAGAAAGCCCCTCCACTCCAGGACGACGTCGATCGAGCGAACCCCGCAGGCGGGCACGTATCCTGCCAGCACCAGCACCTCGCAGAGCGGCTCAGGGATGGCCGCACCATCGGGGGGGTCATCTTCTAGCCGATACCAGCCACCGCAGCTCCGTTCGGGTGGAGCATCACTACGGTCGAGGTTACAGTTGTCTCAGGGAGGGGAGGGTAGTGAGCAGACCAGCAGCAACGGTGGGAGCAGGCGGCCTGTCATACCCTCCTTGAGCTTTGCCAAGCATGAGGGCCTGGGATTTGGCTCCTCGGGTGGAATCGATGAGTGCAAGAGCGCACGCCTGGCCACGCTGCCCTCCGGGGGTGGCCACTCGCGTACGCATTCCACGCACCCAATGCCGCGGCTGACACACCAGGCACCCCTGACAGCGAGGCAGACAGTGGCTGCGGGTGATGGGGCGTCAAGGCCTGGCCACAGCAGGTTGCCGTCATCCATATTGCACTGCGGGCCACTCACCTCGGCTCAGGTGAGCGTAGAATCTGACGCTGGTACACTGCCTCTTGCTGGTATTGCTGTTGCAGCAGTGTGTGCTGGCCCTTCGTCGTTGTATCATCTGCCAGTATTGCTGTAGATGGTCGCAGGTGCTTTGTGAGCTGTTGTCCTGCTTTTTTGCTGTAGTTGTCTTTTCCAGTGAACTGCTGCGTAGCTGGTCGCTTTTGCTGTTGCCCATTTGGTCACGGAGAACATTCAGTTTGTGTTGATGTTGATGCGGTGCCTTGCTGGGTTTGTGATTCGTATATGCATGCTTTGTCCAGGTTCTCAGGCGCTACTCTGAGTACCTGACGAACTATGAGCAGAGCGAGATTCTTGAGTACCAGCATGTATATTTCATTGGGAAGAGTGCCAACAAGATCAAAGGGAACCCACACTCTGGTGAGGCTGTTTGGTGGTTTGGGGCAGTGCCTACAGGGTGACCTGCATTGCTGCGCATTGAAATCTTCTGTCACTGAAAAGAGAATTCTCCAAGCCCTAATCCTTGCTGACACATTTTCTAAAGATGGCAACCTTTAAGTTGATGCCCAAGGCAGTGCTATAGGCTGTCCTTGATTGGCTATTCTGATAATGGTGTTGAGAATTGATGAAAGCAAGAGTGCAGTCTGCTGTTTTTCCATGCAAGGTTAATAGGCCCGGCCACGGGGGCATTTGCACCTGATCGATTCGGGCAAGTTATTGTGTGCACTATCCTTAGCAGTTGATGCTGTGGGTTGAACGAAGTTTTGTCAAGGAGCCCTGTGCACAGGCCCAGAACAGGTCCTTGTTTCCTTGCTGGATATGACTGCCTTGAGTGGCAAAGTGCCTGCTGCCTGCACAAGCAGAAAACCCCCTTTCTGTCAGGAGGAAGGGGTTGTGTTCTCACCAACAGTTGTGGGCTTGTGAGGGCAACAAGCACTTTGCTGCAAGGCATGTGTTTCCAGCAAGAAAACTTGTCCTCAGTTTGTCACCCTATTTGTTAGACACACAACATCAACAACATCAAGAGCCGGCTGGCCCCACCTGCAGTTGCAGTTTCATGTTCACCCAGATAGGGAAAGATGCAGAGTGTGTCCTGTTGTTGGGTGGGCTCTTGGTTAGGACACGTTTCTCTGCAAGTGAACAGACTATCGACTGAGTCGGATAACTGTGGGTGGAGCGGCTGTTTCAATGGCTTTAATGGACACTGGGTCTACATTGTTATTGACTTTATTGTGTGGGAGCAGTTGCAACGTCACGCAGCTAACTGGTGGGGACATCGCTGGAAATTCTCAGATGGCAGGGCCAGATGTGTTGATACAAGTACATCGGTTGCGGAAGTCGCCTATGTGACTGTTTGCTGACACTAACGACTCGATGCTGATATGCGTTTTGTGTTTGTGTTTGTGTTTGTGTTTGGATCCCAGTCCACCTGAACCATGGGTATGATGATGAACGTGGCGACTACCACACAGTGCTGCATGACCACATTTCATATCGTTATGAAGTGCTGTCAGTCTTGGGGAAGGGTAGCTTTGGCCAGGTGTTGAAATGTTACGATTACAAGACCCACACCCTGCAGGCTGTGAAGATCATTCGAAACAAAAAGCGTTTCCATCATCAGGCACTGGTGGAAGTGAAGGTTTTGGAGATGCTGAGGCAGAGGGACTCAGATGACGGCCGCAATGTGGTGCACATGCATGAGTACTTTTACTTTCGGAGCCACTTGTGCATAGCCTTCGAGCTCATGTCGATAAACCTCTACGAGCTCATCAAGCAGAACAACTTTCAGGTCAGGAGCTGGCAGAAGTTCACAGTTGACAGCAGGCCTGCTGTCTTCATAATATATGGTTTCCAATTGGTGTTGTTGTCTTTGCTGTAGTTTTGGGGCTCCAGACCCAAACCAAACTGCACAAGTATTACAATTTTTCACCAAGACACTGCAGTGCTGAATCCACTGCCATAATGTGGCCCTAGTTGCCGAGCAATAGTGTGCAACTCTGTGCAACTTTGCACCTGTATTTGTTCTTGCCCCCAACTTCAGCACAATTGTGCGTGTGGCTGGTGTATTGGGGCTGCCACAGATCTTTCTCCCGTCGGGCTCTGTTTGCCCTTGTTTGTCACTTGAGGAATGTGCCTCCTGTTTGTGGGGGACTTCTACTCTTGTGTCAACAGTTTGCGCTGGTTTGGCAGCATGCGTGTGTGTTTTTTTGCAGCAGTATGGCTCATTCATGGTTTCATGGTTTAAAGTTTTTTGCCTGTCATTTCACATTTTTTGACATCTGCGAATGCATTATCCTGCAGGGTCTCAGCCTGGGGTTGATCAGGCGTTTTGCTGTACAAATCTTGGTGTCACTGAAGTTCCTTCGCTCTCTGCGCATCATCCACTGTGATCTGAAGCCAGAGAACATCCTGCTCAAGCAGCCCAACCGGTCAGCGGTCAAGGTCATCGACTTTGGGAGCAGCTGCCTGGAGGATGAGCGACTTTATACATACATCCAGAGTCGGTTTTACAGGGCACCCGAAGTTATTCTGGGCCTGCCTTATGGGACAGCCATTGACATGTGGAGCCTTGGCTGCATTCTTGCCGAACTGTACACAGGTTATCCAATATTTCCAGGTGAGCATTGTTGCTTCAGAAACATGCACACGCAGCCAGAGAGCTGCCCAAGTTGTAATTTACCTGCATTTGCCTGTGTGTGTGGGGGGTGGGGGGGTGGGGTGGGGATAGGGTCTTATGTATGACATGTTCTATAGTTTCCATAAGAGTCCATAGAGCACTTCCAAGATTCTTTGATCTTTTCCGTCATCTGGAAACTGAAATACTGAAACTGAAATACTGTTTGTGAATGCATGGTTGTCCAGTGGAGATTGACTGCAGATGAGATGAGCACATGTTGCCTTGCTTGCCATGCTGCTTGTTGAATTTCCTTTGACCGGTGTGTGGTGTAACATGGGACCTCATCCACCTGCAGTCTCATGATAGCTCCTCCATTTGTGCAGGATGACACGATGTGCATATGTGTTCCACATCACTCCTTGGGAGACGAAGATACAACCTCTCCCAAAGTTGAAGAAAATTGCAGGCTCTTTGACAGGATGCACATTACTGTGGTGTGGTGTATTGGTGTTGCATACAAGTACCCCATCATTGCTGTTTCTCCTTGTTGTGGACCAATGAAAATGGCATGTGGTATTTTTGAACCAGGTGAGAATGAGCAAGAGCAGCTGCTGTGCATCATGGAGGTCCTCAGCGTCCCTCCTCGGACCATGCTGGAGGGCTCGTCCAGGTGCAAGCTGTTCTTCGACTCACAGTTCCGTCCCCGAATCGTGGCCTCCTCCAGGGGCAAGAAGCGCCACCCAGGCACCAAGGACCTTGCCATGAAGCTGCGCTGCAAGGACCGCAACTTCCTGTCGTTCCTTGAGGGCTGTTTCAGGTGGGACCCACAACAGAGGACGACACCAGAAGAGGCTCTGCTGCACCCATGGATCACAGACCATGTGCCGCCTGCCACCCATCGTGCCCACACCTCATCGTACTCCCACAAGTACAGCCCATCTGAAGCTGCAGCGCTGTCGGCAGCAAAGTAAGTGAACTTCAGCACATGTGCTGCGGGGCCCCAGATTCTGTGTTTGTCTGTTACAATGTTGTTCTGTGTGCTCCTTGCTGCTGTTGCCCTGCACGTACCCTCCCCCGTGTCTATTTGGCAATTGTGGTGTGGGACCACTGTGCTCCCTAGTTTTGCATTCTGTGTTCGCTGCCAATCTTTTACTGTGGTGCTTGTGGGCACTGTGTATGTGGGACATGCAGCCCTGTTGTGGCCTTCCCATGGCCGTTGCCTAGTGTTGTCCCTGAAAAGTGATTATGACAAACAGGCCCGCCCAATTGGACATTTGGGGTGTGGGCTGTCGTTTCCTTTGGGTGTTGATCTAGTACAGACAGATCTTGCTGATTAGGCAAGGTTTGCTGAATTGCGAAGTTCTGTAGGTGTGGTAGTCTAACGCTAAAGCAGCATTTGGGAACCTTTGAAGTTCTATCAGTTGTAATCTTGGCTGATTGAAAGCGAGCCTGCTCAGAAGTTTTCTGTATTTTGTGGGTTCAGCATGTTTTATTGCATCTCTTGTTTTTAGGTTTGGTTGGCGTGGTGGCAATGTCGACTCCAGCATCCCCAATTCCCGCATCCCTTTCCGGCAGTCACCGGCCAACCAGTTGCAGGGCAGCAGCACCTCACGCACGATCACTGGCCACCGCCGGCAGCACTCTGTGGACCACAGGGTCCATGAACCAAACCCGCAGATGCCACCAATGGAGACCAACTTCCTGCCGCGCTTGCTGTCCCTGCAGCAGCAATAGTGGAGGTGACAAACTGGCCATGGCCAGGACTGAAAATGTTGCCATCTTGGGGTCAGGTGGAAAGGGCAGGGGCTCAAGGATGATTGGGCACATCTGAGACTGCGCAGTGGAAGGGCGGGTGTGTAGGTGCCGACGAGTTCTGGGACCAAATAAGGGGCTGGGATGTGGATGGGTCTGGGGGCAGTGGCGGCTGTCTGCGTGTGTGTCTGTGTGTGTGTCTGTGTGTCTGTGTCTGTGTCTGTGTGTGTGTCCGTGTCTGTGTCTGTGCCTGTGTCTCTGTCTGTGTGTCTGTGCGCGTGTGTGTTTGGCAGCTTGGCTTGGGGGCCTGGGGGCAGATTGGTAGAGAGGGGAAAAGGGGAGGGGGAGGAGAGCAATCGACGAAACGGGGATTGGGGATAGTGCACATACTGGACTGGCTAGGTAGAATGCCCAGATTCGGATAGATGGGCCCAGGCGGATTCCCCGCCAGTGAGAATCCGTTGACACCACAGGACGGGAGTGTGGTGGCATGTGGAGGGGTGTTTTTTTGGTCCAGGTGTACAGTGCAGCGCATGCTTGTTTTACCATTTTTTGTTGAACGGGACTCGAATGTGAGGATTTGATTGGGAGATTGCTTGCCTCGTTTTTAGGGAACCCAATGGACGGCGGAACTCACCCTTTTGTGTGTGTGTGTGTGAGTGTGCATGTGTGAGTGTTGGCTATGTGTTTGAGAATGTGCGGGCGCGCGGGGTTTTGGTGTGCATGGGTTGGACAGGATTCAGATTGCCTTGGGAGCGCGTCTTGTGCAAATTTCGGCTAGCGGAATTTCTGGCGGTGTATGAGTAAAGATTTCGGGGAAACGACCAAACACCAATTCCGATGATGACTTTACAAAACCGCCAAATGTCACGGATGGGGATCGCTGGGCCGTGGCATTTTGAGTTCCAAGCCCTGTTGGCTGTTGCCGTGCAGCGGCAAGCTGCCAGATCGGATGTCTGACGGGTGGCACTTTTCAAGCAGATAGTGGTGTGGATGTGTGTCGAATTGGGAAACGAGGTACAGGACGAGATCGAAGCAAGCAGTGTGCACTACCTGCCGTGCTCGTGGACAATGTCAGCATGGGTCCTAACTGAGTGCATTCCGCTGATTCAAATGCGCACCTCTTCTGGCGAGGCCAACGCTGGCCTCACAGCAGCTCAGCTGTGAAGGACCGCTGCCAGAAGAGGCTGGACGGAGATGTTGGGAAGCAGAGGGGATGGGGAGGTGCAAGGCGGACGTCCACAGAGGGCAGGAAAGGGTGAGCAGGTTGCGGTCAATGGAGGACGCTTGGGCTCTCCTGAGGTGTGGGCATAGGTGCTGTTGGACAGGTGACTAATAAACTAGTAGTTGCAGGATGCTGTTTGTCGACTCGGAATGCTGGAAACTGGCTTGGTTTGGCTCTGCTGTCCTCGATGGCTGTGTGGGGGCCAGGGAGGGCAGACTGTTCGCGTGCTGTCGAGTTGGGTGCTGTGTGCTGAAGTGACTTGTCGTTGCCTCCCCAAGTGGCTCACGCCGGAGCACCTGCAGAACTTGGTGCTTGTGAAATGGGCGCTTGAGGGTGTTGGTCCTTGCTCGCTTGTCCTCTCTTGTTTTGGTACGTGAGGGGCAGTGGCTTTAACGTGCGCTGGTTGGAGCATGCAGAGGCCTGCCATGGACGAGTGGGAGTGGCCATGGCTGTCTTGAAATGCGCCTGAGGCCGTGGCAGGCAGCTGTTGCTTCCTAGTGTTTCAGCCGCTTGGCCTTGCGTCTGCGGTGCAGATACTGCGTTCCGAGTCCTGGGAAGGGTTTTAACATTCGGCGATCATGGTTAGTTCCACATCATAAGCGATTGGACCACGGCGGCTCAGGCAACCCGTCATGCTCTTGACCATGGCAGCGGGAGCAGCACTGTGCTGCCAGTTACCATATGGTGCGCTGCATCCCGCCTGCGGTCATGGTGTCTGATCCACGTCAGTTCTGCCTGGCAACACTCGACAGGCCGCACAAAATTGCGGCATGATTGCTGCAGGAAAGCCACAAAGTGGGGACTCTACGTCCCTGCTGCCGAAGGTGGGCCGCCTGGCCGCCTCAGGTTAACCTGGTTGTGGCGCGGTGCCCTTGCACAGGACCTGAGTCCTCCATGTTGGTGAATGCCACAGAAGCACAGTTTTGAGGGATCTGTTGAATCACGCCCAGCATCACCCACAAAACGACGGCATAAAGCCAAAAACTTGGGCTCGGTCGTTGACGATCATTGCATCTTATAGGACTTCTATGTCTTCCCCTTCAGTATGTGCTCTCAGCTGTCATCTCAACCACTACGGTATCTGGCAAAATGAGTTGCAGCACCCTATCAAAACTTGGTCAAATACACCAAGGCGACGGCCATGTCACCCTGACCGGTGTTCCACTTTTGCAACTTGGTAGTAAAAACATCAAGTGTTTGCAGCCAAGCCATCCCCAAGTCACAACAAAGATGACAAGGCCCCCTACCAAGTGTTGGTGGCAACATGCCCATCACGGCAGAGTGATTGACGCTGCCACTCCTTGCAGCCTGCAATCACCTTGTTATGCACATTCCCCTTCACCATCAACACCTCTGGCGCTCTATCATGAGTGGCACCCGCTGCGAGCACCAACGCACACTAAATTCCAGCACTCAACCCCACGGATTCTGAGTGAGGGTCACACACATCACAAAGCAGACCCTGAGAGACCAAACCACGAGGCAGCATGGGACTTGCTATCACTTGCCGTATCGTCGGCTCCACATGCCCATCATTGCACAGCCACATAGACAGACGGGAATGCTTTACATGCCCCCAGGACTTCAGTCTTCGGCCTCTGGCGCACTGGGGTGGACAGAGCCATATTTGTATCTAGCGGGCATGACATCCCATGCCTGCCTCTCATCGCAAACTCACACGTTCGTGCTGGTTACGGAGTCCGCGGAGTAGGCTAGTTTACGGGAGGCTCGAAGGCGGGCGGGAGAATAATTGATGGGGCCGCCAGGCCCCCTACTGGCAAGCGCGACGGGACGCCCAGGGCCACATTCAACTCGCATGTACATGCCGCTCTGGGGGCTCGCGAGCTCCCCATGGATGCTGGCTACGCTGTGGGGCAGTTTGGGGACGGTGCGCGCCCACCAGTGCCACTTCGTTTTCTCGCTCCACCCACTGTGGTGTCGTGAGCCCGGTCCCTTGGGAACTGATCTACGATCTTTGGAAAAGATCCGCCGCGCCAGACCTCTGGTCTGTGTTTGAGTCACACCCCGGGAGCGGGCCATAGCCTTGCGCTCCCTGATCATCTTCATGCCCACTGCCAAAGAGATCCTTGAGAATCTACGTGCCCTCCTGAACGCCCTACCCTCCAGCTCCACCGTTCAAGTGGACGACGCCCCGGCAGCCTCCGAGCGGTCCCCTCAAAAGACGATTCCGAGAAGATCCTCCGGGACCTGGCCAGCAAATTCGGGGCATCCTTGGAGCCCCTGCCCACAGAGGATCGGTTGTTCCTGCACTCCGGAGCTAACATCCTACCTACGCGGAAGAATTCTGTCAAGCACCCGGACGGCGTGCAATTTGGTGCGTGATTCAACACCATCAGCACCGTGGACGGGCAGCGGATCGCCCAGGTGCTGGGCCCCAGGAGCGCCTTCTTCGCCGAGTATGCCAATTGGGCACCCCCGGTGTCCTTTTTCTTCGACCTCTGGTCCACCTGCTCGAGCTCACCCAATCGGACGATCTGCAGGGCCCTGTGTGCAAAGTCTTAGTGGGTGTCTACGCGGTTCTGACCAAGGCAGTCGACTTTTCAGTCATCACTTTGGCCCAACGTTGCCTTCAGGCCGCCCATGCCAGTAACCTGCTCGAGCACGCCTGGAAGACGCTCGCGACCAGCGTCTGATTGGGCTCCCAGGATTCCGAATACATGCCCAAGCTGGTCCGCGACACGACCGAGAAATTAAGGGAGCAGATTCAAAAATCATCCCTTTGCGCCCAGGCGGACTCCAGGGAGCGGGGACAGCATAGCTCCCGCAACGCTCACACTTTCAGTCAGGGGAGTTCCGCGGGCCCTAGGCGGGGCGGCGGGGGATGCAATCGGGGACCTGGCCGCCGACCTCACCAAGGCAGTCACGGCCAGCAGCAGCACGATCAGGGTGCATCGGGGGCCACTTCTGGCAACCCCTTTGCCAATGTTGTATGAGCTCCAAGAAGGATCTCCAAGACATCGCGAGTGCCTTGAAGCGCCTCGCGGTGCACGACGATGGGACCATGAATAGGCCCATTGCGCCCCGCATGCCTGACCATAATGTTGCACGATCAAGCGCGGCAATGGGAGCGGGCGTTGTTCCAACCACTGGGGATCAATCCCCGCGAGTTTCTGGCAAACAGAATGGCCCACGCCATTGGCGCTTGGAGATAGATCGGTGCGTTGAAGGAGATCCTGCATTAGATCCATCAAGGTGTGCCAGTGCATAGGCTGGCGGGGCCTCTAGTTCCCTTTCACCACGGGAACTACCATGTGGACAGGCCCCAACTGCAAGCATGGACCAAGCTATGCTACTAGTATCTGACTACGGGGGCCATCCGCCCCACCAAGGATCCATGCTTCATCTCTCGAGCTTTTCTTGTTCCCAAAAAAGACAGAGGATAGCGACTGGTGGTCGACCTCTGCCATGTGAACCAGCACTACGTAGCTTGGCACACACATTATGAGACGCTACAAATGCTCTTACCTCAGCTGCAGCGGAACCAATTCCTGGTGGGCTGGGATGTTCGGGACGCATTCCATCAACTTCAAATCGAGGAACGCAACATCAAGTTTTTATATGCGTTTGAATATGTGAACGAC